TATATACTGAACCTATATTCAATCATGCGTGAAGTCCTTCAGTCTATAATAAAAAAGACAAATTTATGCAAAAAGAATTGTATCAACATCTATTTTAAAAAGGCAAGAATTCACAAAACACTTTTCTGTGCAAGTATACTGTCCAGTAGTGAGTAAATTGTAATGGGGCCAGTGGGCCTATCAAATTATTCGCGGAGTGAATGGCACCGACAATTTTTTTTTATAAAATTTTGGTCTAATAAGTAGAATACACAGAAAGAAAGTTATCTATACACATAGTGACTGTGTGTCAGGACCCGAATGATAGTTTAATCTTAGAGTTCACCTATTATCACGCACGACATGACGGTGGTAATGAAACCGATCCGCTCGCTTCGTATGTTCGTATCGCGCCGGCGAGTGTCCGGCGGGCGGCGGGCGGCGGGCGGCGGGCGGCGGGCGGCGGGGCGGGGTGTCGGTGGGGGCGGCGCGGCCGGCGGCGGCCAATGGCGGCGCGCTGACCGGCGGCGGCGGCGCGGCGTCCCGCTGCCCGCGGTCGATACCGCGCGCTGTCCGCTGTCCGCTGTTCGCTGTCCGCGCCTCCCGCCGCCCATCGCCACTAAATCACGATCTAGCGTCAATTACAGCCTTCATGCGGCCGCCGCGCCACCGCGCCACCGCGCCGCGCCGCACTCCCCGCCATTAACTGCCGTACACTCGATGTTTAATATCAATAAGTGGCCGCCTACATACACACTGTGTAAAGCATTACGTATGTTGTTATTGTAGGCACGAATGGGCGAAACAGTATACTCTGTTATGTCCATGGTACTGCTCATGTCTATAGGCGACGGTTATCACTTTCCATCAGGTGGACCGTCAGCTTGTTTGCCATTCTAAGTTGTATAAAAAAAATTATAAAAAAAAATATTAAACCGACTTCAAAAAGAAAACCAAAAAAATGATTCATAAACTAACATTAGTCTTTTAATTTAAAGGACAAAATCTGTTTGAAGTGGGTGCCCAGCACAAACACGACGGGAACAATAATTTATGACACAGCTTAAATTAATAACGAAACATAATTCTAATGAACTTAATGTAAATGTTTAAAGGCCAACCAACTTAACCAACTGCAAGCAACTGTCCAATTGTACAACTCAATCAACAACAATATAACGCATCAGTTGGTACAGACTTCAAACAGATTTTGTCCTTTAAATTAACATACTAACATTAGTTTATTTTCATTTATTACCTTATGTTTCACCTTCTTTTTTGAAGTCGGTTTATGTTTAACAAGTTTATTTTTTTCTATGGATTTGTTAATGAATGATATTAAGACCTCTCATCTCTTTCCGTTCCGAAACATACTCTATGACTCTTGTCCGAAATAAAGCCGAAGAAACTTCACGGTCGCTTTACAGGACTTATTTCGGTCGCATAGCGTTTCGGGTACGAAGTTCGGGCTGACCTTCATGGTAACTCACGGCGCTGTACCTCACGGCTTGGACTGTGTAAATTAGGATTAAATAATAGTGAAGTATAGCCGTGTGGTTCCTTTCCAGTGGGTGACGTAAGAAGCGTCAAAGGGAACTTATAGATCGAGAGAGGGCTAGTAGCGTCCCTCTTAAAACAAAACTTATCTGCGGTTGCCTACCCGCGTGTCAAGCGTGGCTACTCCTGATAAAACCCTCCCTTACGGGAGATGCTTATGTTTAGTAGCGGACAGTTAACGACTATACTCGTATGACGATATGATGATATACCTATAATGTATCTAGTAGATTTTTATTATATATTTATATGTGAAACTTCTACACGTCCATTACATTTTAAATACTAGCGATCCACCCAGTCTTCGCACGGGTAGATAGATACAATGATGAATTAGTCGGTATTTTATATTAGCTTTAATAGGCCAATTTTTAATACTTTAGGTAAATTACAATAATACAATATATTGTAAATTTCACTGGGCACCTAATTTTTTTGAAAATAGTAGTTGTGTTTGCATGGCTGTGTTTCGGTTTGAAGGGTGGGATATGGCAGTGAATTTACAGGGTACAGAGGAATAACACCCGAGTCCTCAGGAATGGCACGCATGGGTGTATATAAACAGTATACTCTGTTATGTCCACAGTACTGCTCATGTCTATAGGCGACGACTACCACTTTCCATCAGGTGGGCCGTCAGCTTGTTTGCCATTCTAAGTTGTATAAAAAAAGTATATAACCTAATTTGTTCGTTAATAACGGAGCTTACTGTAGGCGAAAGTTTTTTTTTTTTAATAGGTAATACCTAGTTTTTGAGATTCTCCATTTGTTACAAACAGACTCTATAATATTTACTATGTATTAGGTATAATGCATGCGTACCTATTCGTAAAATGCAGCTTGCAGCTTGCAGCTTGCATTAGTGATATTAATTCATAAATTATATCATGTTATTTTCTATCATAGTCAATGAACGGCCATAGATAGACCCTACCTATATTCATCACTATGGACTTATATAAATAAAGTTTATTTAATAACCACATGAGCGAGGAACTTTGCTCAAATTCCGCATAATAATCTGCTCTCGTTTATTTAATATGTAAGTTTATTGTGGAAACTTCACTGGTATATGTTATTGCTGTATTTATTATATTTTTTGTTTGTGTTGCGTTGGTTCGGTCGTTTGGAGAGGATGGATGAAAGAAGAATTACGAAAGAAATTTATCGAGCAAGAATGAATGAATATGTCGGTAGGGGCCGCCCTAGACGGATGTATGTCGACCAAATAGGCGACGTGCTGAAGAAGGGCCGAATTAAAAGTACCCGTAACCGGCGAGCGTGTATGAAAAGATTGATGAATGTTGAAGAAGCGAAACAGGTTTGTTTGAATCGAAGCATTTGGCGTTCCATTGTTTCTGCCTACCGTAATGGGAGACAGGCGTGACCAATATATATGTATGTGTTTTGATAATTGTATGTTTCCCTTATAAAGCAAAAAATGGAAACTACGGGAATGACGGTAGGAACGATTGTTTTATTGATTTTGTTTTTTTTTTTTTCGTTATTTTTAAGTTGAGTCCTGACATCATACAAATTGCTTCGAGGAGATTTAACTAGTTGATCCCAATACCAACAATATAACATGCCAAAGGGACCAACATAATTGTACTGCCTTACATATGTATAAACCTGAGAGTTAGAAGGTCGATTGCATTGTGATGGTGATTCATAGAGCAGTCAGACACATTGGTAGTATGGCACCAATTTGTCTTTTTGAAGAGAATATAAAACTATTTGAATAGAGTTGTTAACAAGCTATTTAAAATCGTCACTTTTTATAATTCTACCGCTGTAGGTATGTCTTCGGTATGTTGTTATTTGCTGCGAAGAATTTATAAAAAAATTCGACACTTTTCTAACTAATTCATGTACGAAATAATTAAATTGTATTTGTATGAATTGGTAGTTGTTTTTAAACCAACTTCAGAAAGAAGGTGATTCTAAATTCACTAGTCATATCTAAACCGATTTGGAAAATTATTTTTTTTTCAGTTGAAAAGACATACTTACATGACATAGTTTGGTCCCATAGAAATTTTATTAAAATCGAATTCAGTATTTTAATTTTTAGCTCAAAATAACTGGTTTGTCACAATTGAAGTTGGTTCTTTTTGTGATATTACAATCTTTAACTATTGATATATCTATTGAATTAAGTAAGATTTCTTGGGAAATAAAAAAATATGTAATTTGGATATTACAACACCGGTTGAATCAAATAGTATGAAAATCAATAGATAATTGTTATAAAAATGACTTATTATTAAATAAAAACAAAATAATTCAATCAAAAGAGTTAGTTATGGTCGTAGTTAGTAGAAGGGCAATTAGCAAATGACTATACTACTGCTAGGTTAGTCCTTCCGGTTCGTAATGGTAGGCCGTATAGTTACACGTTAATTAGGTTTTTATTCAATGGATGATATGCTATTCAGTATAGCATCGCCGTCTGCGCTATCGGTATACGTTGGCATTACTGCACCGCATTGGCATTTATATCCCAATGAGGAATGAAAGATGAGGATGAAGTCAGGTCATTTGGCCTGCATCGTTTGGATCTGCACCGAAATCACTAGGAATTTATTACGGTGGTATCCAGGGTGGACCGCGCAGAGGCTGGCCTGATGATAGAGTATATTGTCAGCAGGCAAACTATAATTAAGTTTTTTTTAATGGTTGAAAATGGAATGGTAACCACGTCTGCGCTATCGGTATATCAGTGATAGATGGCGGGCCATCAGTGATAGATGATAGGTGAGGATGAAGCCAGGTCAATTGATCCATCGTGATGAATTTATGGTAAATTTACCACGATGGTTTTCAGGGGGAACCGCGTAGAGGTTGACCTGACAGTACCCTGTTGTTGTGTATTACTAACAAAGGGGCTGTTAGAGAACCCATTACTAACAATCCCTCCCCCCCCCCGTATAATGAGGTTTAGGCAGGTAAAGATCCACCCGACCGAGTAGGTTTGTACTTACCCGTCGATCAGTCGTGTTCGTGGCTACAGCACAGCTTCATTAGTCTTATCGTCGATTGTGATCTGCAAGCGAGCCATCACCGTCGCGTCGCTTCTCCGCGAGCAGTCGAGCGGAGTAGGGCTGACTGCGGCCGCGTCACAGCTCGCGCCGGGCGGCGGACGAACAACGATCCTTATCGCCACTCACTCGCCTCGAGCACGACGCCCGGCGCCCGGGGTCCGGGACCCGGGGCTCGGTGACCATTAATCTAACCGAGGCCTGTGCCGTACCGAATGATGAATAGATCGTGCCGAACACGTCACGTTCTCCAATTGTTATCGGAGCGAACTCGTCGTTATAAATCGTAGGAGCCGCCCCGCGTCACACTCGTCATAATTGGAGCGTGACCTCGCTAATCTGTTCCCGCTAGAATTAACAGTACTCTATTAACTTGTAGTGTTCACAGATGTACATACCTAACCGGGATATGTGTGCACGCAGGTCTGGAGGCGCAGGTGCAGGACACGTCCAAGGACCTATATTGGTTTTGAGGAGAGCGCGACGCTGGCGGCCGCGCGTGCTCGCGCGTGCTGACCGCGGCTGCGTGCTCCTACCGATACCATACTACTTAGGTAAACGACGGCTGTAAAGAAAGACATTGTATAGTTGTAGTCCTCGTAGCAATCTAGCGACCTACTTACATATAGAGACATATAGTTTGTATAGAATCTGTGCAAGGCCACGCCTCGCGGGCCAGTGTCCCGGGAGCCGGTCCCGGGGACCGGCTGCGACCTCGGTGCCCGGTACGGGATTCAATCTCATGTTAAGAGTATTATTAAAATTTGAGTTACGATAGAGTTTTGTTTGGAGCGATGTGTCCACCCGGGACGGCGCGGCGGTCCCGGCGCGGCGTGTCTGCTCCACGTAGCGTAGGCGACCGATAGCTGTTGTGTATATACGAATTAAGTTCAGTTATAGGTAATATTTATCTAAATGGTGTATAGTGACATGTATTCACGTAGGTGCTTTGCGCTAAAAAAAAGTTTAAAAAGTAACAAACACAAATAATTGAACAATTGTTGTACATTTCTGTATATGTAGATATTACAACATTAAGTACCAGTGATTGTTCACATGAAATATGTATATGGAAGCTGTACATAATGTCATACTCCGCGAGCTCAGCAATAGGTACTAGCGGAGTGCACAGTTTACGGTCGACTACCGATTATGTCCGTATAGTTCTACGATATAGTTCTATCACACTACAAGCATTAGAACGAAACGGACTTGTTGTCCGTTCAGCTCTAGATACTATTTGCAGTATGATTTTAACAGAAATAAACGATTAAAAAGTTTATTTTTGTGTGTTTTGTTCTATTTTACATTTATAAAAATAAATTTAGTTCTAGATTTTAATAAAATTATATCGTCAATAAAGTTAAAATGCAAAACAGACAAAAGTATGTATAACATATGTATATATACATGTATATCCATCACGCTTGTCTCTTATTGGGATAGGCAGAAACAATATTAATTTTTTTCAGTTCTCCAAATTTCCAGACCAACGCAACGTTCTCTTTTCAATTTTAATTACTACATAGTCTTTTAGTCCACACTTCTCTCTAATCGTACGATGACTCATTCTCTTTTAATGCAATATAAATTTGCGATTCCAACTGCTTTGGCATCTGCCATACTCCTACTCTTCAAACTGAAACAGTCATGTAAACACAACTGCATTGCGACAAAAACACGAGTGAGATAGTGGTGTGGATGCAGACAACTTGTGTACAGTCTCCCGCTGGTTCCTGGCCAACTGTACGTTATAGTACTGAGCATGTTCACCTTAATCTTCAGTCAAATAACCTATTATCATTATTGCTACTACAATGCGCAATTATAGCGCCGTCTTTATTAATACGATTTTTATAATATTTATACTTCTCATGTAAAATATCTATTTCCATTTGTCTACAATAATATTTATGGCAAACGTATTTATTTCTTCATTGAAACTATATACATGTCAATTTTTGGAACAGTTAAAAGTTTCTTACCTTGTTATAAATAAAAATAGCGGAACTAAATCGTTGAACAATCTCGGTTCAAATTAATTAATTTCCCTTCCGTTCTTTCTTAGTAATCGAATAAGCTTTTTCAGTTTTGTTCTACTAGTAGAACTAAATCGTAGAACAATACGGATATAGTGCGACGACCGACCGTTGTCATTATAAATAACATGTCCCTTGCAATGAAAATTATATGTGAGAATATAATAAATAAAGTTAAGGAATCACGATTTTTTTTTATTCATTGTACCTTTCATATCTACCTACCTACTACCTAAGACTATAAATGGGGGTGATGTAGATAGATTAGATATTTACCTGCTACCAAGTTATCTTTGATGAAAAATTAAGACTTACTGAAAACCGAGTCGCAAGTTCAATAAGTCTATCCTAGAGACTACGCCACGGCGCAAAATAATAGACAAAAATAATAAATATATTTATTTTTAATATGAAATAAAAAATCCTGTTACCATACCAACTGTGATTTGACTGCTGTTAAATGAAATGAATGTTATTATGAAATAAGCTACCTACACTAAAATGGCAAGCCTACGTAAATCCTGCAACTTCAAACATCTGTAACGGCGGATAATGTGCGTTATTACATAGGTTTTTCAAGTTTAATTAATAATAACATTTTATAAATTACAATCTGCGTTACTGTAACTATTTGTATAATTAATTTGTAATGGCGGTTAAAGTAGCCTACAAAATTATGCGCAGTGTGGTAGGTTTAAGGGGTAAGTTATGTTGTTCTAGTAGTCCTTCTAACATTATGAGTAGGTACAACAATTTAGTTATCATCTCGGGTTGTTTTTAATGGGTAAATTGTGAGCTCGCCTGTGTATAGCGACAGCGCGGGCGGGGCACCACTGAAGGATGATAGGTGCGGATGGACGCAGATCAGTTGGCCTATCGTGACGAATTCAACAATAATTAATCACGATGGTTTCCAAGGGGAACTGTGTGGAGGTCGACCTAATACGGGGTATTGCTAGCTATAGGGCAGTTAAACCCCATTACCAACAATCCCTTGCCCCCTCATCATCTCGGATCGGTAATTATGTTATTAATGGATGCTATTTTTGTGCACCCGTTTATACCAATGAAGTAATTTCCAATGAATTCACCACACTGGGTCAACTAGCCTGATGTCAGCTCTCACTGGCATTTCGCCTGCACTATTGGTTTATGCTACACTCACCGTTCATATTAAAATATCCATGGGACAGTTTTTGTAAGGTGTCGCCGCAGCGCTGCGCTGCAGCGTCGCGAGCGCCTATTGAATAAAATATTAGCAGGTGAGAACGCGACGCGGAGCCGCGTTATTTACATAGCGGCGTGCGTGCAACATTCGGCAATACATCGACGAATGATATCATGAATAACTGCTCACTTCGCCACCTGGCAGACTACTACATTTCACTACTAAGTATTGGTTGCAAAATTATGTGGCTATTTCCAGATGTAAGTTCGAATCTCAATAATATAACTAAAACTATGGAGACTTGAAATGAGGCGTCGATGTAAAATTTGTCACTAAGTAATATTTTTATAAAGTCTCCAAAATGTGAAAAGGCCGGTGAGCGGCGGATGCAGGTGCCTGCTGCTTTCGCTGGCTATGTAATGTGCCTCTCCTTTTTATTACCTACATATCTATAATATGTATCTAGTATACTTGTGTATTTTATTCAAGCTTATCTACACGTTTAAATGTGTTTGCGTAACAAAACATAATTTCTGTCCTTTGTCTCGTCTGATTATATATTATAATCCTTGCCTATACCTGGCTGTTACAGGTTTTTCATATATTGAGAGCGCAATCATCAAGGTCCGCTTGATAGAAAGCGGTTGCCACAGCCCTTGAACTCATGCCCCACGCCAGAGGCACCAATCGCGCGTAGACGACTTTAAAAATTGGGCCTTTTCAGTCGGGTCGAAATTTATCTATACGAGTAACTGAATGTGATAAAATAAACTGATACAGCTGTATAGACGAATGACAGTAAGTAAACGTTATAAATGCGGATTCTTAGAGAGATGCAATGTCGCCAGATTGGGTATATGTTTCATAATTGTGGGTAAAAATAAAGAAAAGTGAAGCCACTGTGAAGAATTTTGAGTAATGTATTTGAGTATTTTGGCATTTGATATCTAGATATATTATTGCAATATAGAAGAGTGTTTTTTTTTGTCACCCGAAGAGAGGATTAGTTAGTGAAACGCAGTGAAAACGAACAAAAGCGAATGTCTAACATAGGTAGAAGTGAAGAAAATTGCTTCAATGTCGAACAAAATATTTAAAATTTGGGGTTAAATGGAAGCTGTCATCTGGCAACGCTGTAGTGATGACTAACACGGCTGCGGGTACGTGCGACATCTCAATATTAATCGTTACAACTTACCACTAAACACATGAATGCTTTAATACTTATTTGTGCCTCATTCCGCGGACAGATAATAAAAGTTTAACGAGCTCTCGATTATTTTTGTCTAATGTTTAAATAAATGTATCTTAGTTAAAATATGACCACTATTTCATTTATTTAAACTTTATTGACCAGTAAAATGTGGTACAAAGCGCGGACTTACTGCCATAGGCATTCTCTACCATTCAGTGTTTAGAATGTACAGAGACACTCAATGTGGTGATTGTTCCAGATGTGAGTCTAGCTACACATAGCTACTAGTCAGAAATTTTAATTGTCATACAATTTTTGGTATCCACACAGTTTTGATTTTACGGCCTTTGTGATCTAGTCAGAATGCTACCATACTATACCATAGGCCACCATCTTCTCGGGTCACTGCTTAGGTCTTGGGGATTAAAAACAGATTTTGTGGTACGAAATACCTAAGTTCTTGAACTTTAGGAAGACAGGCTAAAGATTTAGTAATTGTTCAGAACACCATAGTACCTATGTATCTAAACCAAAATTGTATTGAAAAAGTCTTTTAGGAATACAGGCGCATTCCTATTACTAAATGGGTAGATAGGTACGCGTTCACCAACAATAGCTTTACATGTCACCAAGTGAATGTTTACAAGCAGAGAGAGCTCAATAAATATCACTCGAAACTATTCCAGTGTTTTATTTCTCGCCAGGAACGAGATTTAAATTAAAGACGCTGCAGACTTTTAGAATTGAATGTTTTCGAAACTAGCCGTTTGTGTGTAATTAGGAGATGTTATTTTTGGAGTAGTGGCTCGTAAAACGGCAGTTAATCAAGCTTCAGATTGGAGTGGCATCGCGGCGGCGGCGGCGGCGGCGGTGGCGGCACGGCGCCCGCGCTAAATAAACAATAGAGCACTGCGCCGACGGAAATAGCGCCATTAGCGGATCGCTGTTTGTAAACATGCGACACATCGCGCGCCCTCACCGCCGGCCGCCGGCCGCCGGCTACCGGCTCACGTCGCTCCTCCACAGTACGTACTACACCACCGCTACCATCGCTACCACCGCTCCGTCGCCGAGCGATCGCTGCGCGCGCGCAAATAACGACACCTCTTGCGATGACGCTTTTGTATCTACACATTCCTCGGGTCCACACCCGGAGCGAATTAAATAAACCGAAGTAAAAATATATTGGAAGCCATCACACCGCCGTCCGTCCGACTAATTTGTCACTCTTCTAATTTATGCTAATGGATTGTTAATGACGGCATTAATATTATAATTAGCGTCGCTTACATTTGTCACCGGTCACCGGCTACGCGAGGAGCGCGGCGCTGTCGGTGAACGGCGCGCTGTGTAATTGCATGTCTTGTTAATGAACGCTCGTCAGCAACGATCGCTGCTCGTGTAGACAGCCGTGCACGACACATGTGCCGCCGGTTAGCAAGTGGCGGCCGTTGTTATCCCGCGGGAATTGTAACTGTAATTGAGCCGTAAAGGAGCGCCGCGGCCGGTGTGCCGCGGTGGGACCTATCAGCCCTATTTTATGGCAATAGAATGGTCGTTAGTACAAGCACTCTTAGAAGGGCCCGCATTTTGTATGCACGTCGCCTGCCGCCTGTCGCCTGTCGCCGAGAGCGGGCTGCTTCTAGTGGGTATTGAGCAATCAATGAATGCTAATCAGGCAGAGGGGCTGTGAAACTCTTACGGATGGAGACATTTTCTTAAATAGGCATTAATCTCGAATTAAGATCTGCCAATTGCATTATAAAGTAGGGGGAAAGGTAGAGTTTTCACTATAACAGCCTTTAAAGATTGTTGCTCTTTACAACAGACTTCAAAAAACGAAGCTTCTCAATTTGGTTGTATTTTTTACGTTTGTTACCTCATGACTCCGTTCTCTATTTTTTTTTATCTAAAAGAGATTTTATCAAAATGGGTTGAGTACTTTACTTTTTTAACAACGATTGAATTTGGTTTTTTAGTGAAACACAATTATCATTATCGCGATCTTATTATGTAAACAGCCAGGGGTATGAATGCTAGTGCAACGTTGCATATAATAGAGTTTATGTAAGGAGAGACCAATTAATAATTCAAAATTTTATTAGGTACACCTTGTATATGACTTTTTAGTTTTAGTGGCGACAACACTGTATCTATCATGGCAACATATGCCACAGTATTTTAATGTGTCCTTCCTCCTTCTGTAACTCCTCCTCCTTGTCCTTCTCCTAATCCATGTAGTGGAAACGTAACTTTGTAATCCTGAATTCTCTGTAATAAGTAGTATTTAACAAAGAAATTGATAATATCCAATGTCTAATGTTTCGAATAATCCGAAGGAAGACATAAAAACGCCAAAAGTATAGATTCCTGCCTTTTTATTTTTTTTCTTCAGGACGATGTCTGGACGGGGCAGATGTTTAAGGAACATTGATATTAGCGTTGATACTCTGTTATGTCCATGGCACTGCTCATGTGTATAGGTGGGCTGTCAACATGTTTGCTATTCTAAATTGGATAAAAAAAATATGAGCGATCTTAATATGACCAATAACGGTCAAAACGACAATTTTGAGAAATTTAAGTCGTGTCAGCCTGTTTGTAGTTTGTTCCGGTGTCACGCATAAATTACATGCACCAAATTGGATGCGGTTTTGACAGTTGTATTAGATACCTATATTGTTGGTATAACTTAAAAATTGGGGTGTTTTATGTTATCTAAAAGTGGTCTATTACATTTTTTTTTATTTCTACAATCTACGCGTACGAAGCAGTGGGTTAAAAGCTAGTAAAAAATTATCAAGCTGTTTTTCTTATTC